GAGTAGTTTCTTTGCAGGAATATTCCATTCCTGTACCCTTACGGCACAACGCTCACGGTTAGCAAACCGGCAGTGGCCATTTTGTCGACCGGAACCGCGTGTTACCCGATATGCAGGCCAATCTGCGCACTGCGTCACGTCTCGGTAAGTTTCAAGGTGATTGTCACGAAGCTCCTGAGACTATAAGGTTTACAGGATAGCGGTGGCAAACTTGTAGTCGTCGGTTCGACCATGTTGATGCACGATCAGTATTTCGATAAGGAAGAAAATGCAGCCATCGTGGTATGCGCGCAGCAGGTGGAATGGAACCATTCGGCGCGGCCGTTTTGACGCGTTTGATTCTGCATGATTAGAGCTGTGGTCATCTCGATCAACCGTAACATCCAACCCAGTAAGTTATACATCTTTGAGAAGCTCTCTATAAGCACGACGTGAAACTGCTGTCAAACTAATGAATTTCTAAGATTTTACTTTGACTCCGTTTTTCTACCAACGAGAACTGAATAATACACACTATCCATAGAAATATCGGAATGCGGACGAAAGGATAATATCTGTTGTGAATGATTGTTATAACAGAAATATTACTTACTTTCATGAATCAGTGTATAACTGCAAAACGGTGCAATGATGTATATTGCAAGTAAAATGTTGCTATTTAAATAAAGTTACTTTATACATCAGCTCATTGCTCTTTCATGAAAAGTTGACTTTAAACTAAATTATATTAACAAATTTACATGTTGTGAAATAACTGGGCAATTTTACAACCAATCTGACAGATTTTTTGGCATTACACTCAATGACAGATATAAAGACAGAAAATGTGAACACGGACGAATTCATAGAAACTTAGAAATTCACTGGTTACACAGTTGTTTCACTTTGTGCTCACGAATGCTTCTCATAGGTATATAACTTACTGGATTAAATATTACAGCTGATCGAGATGACCACAGTTGGATCATATAGAATCAAACCCATTGCACGTCGATAACGACTATCGATCGGCACCGAATCGTCACAGACCGATCAGCAGGTGTAGATAATCGGTTGTAATCATTCTTTAAGGGTCAAATTTTTGCACTGCTCATGAACGAAGAACTGGCGCTAAACAAAGTGGACGCCGATAACCCGGAGGTGAATAAATACGTTTTTCAATTATGAAAACAATCTGTTTTGCAGATAACCGACTATAGCTGCATACCCAACACCCTTTCGCTGGCGAGCCGAATAAAAGGAAGTGTTCAGGAGGGAGAAAACGACTTCACCGCTCATGACTTAGCGAAACTGCCTGATCGGTGCCTTTATAATATGACATTGTCGCACGTGATTCGATGCGTGAGGTGTGCTGTGTATATGAAGCTTCAAGTTTCAGTTTGCGGCATTAAGGGCATACGAAGAGCTGAAAGTGAAACATGAACCGCTGGGCTTGATCCCTCCAAAATTTTTTACGCCTCTACCACCGCTACACATTTCTGTACGATTCGTATCAGTGTACGTCTCTCTGTCACTGCACTGGCCATACTAAATTTTAGATATATCCTGCTATATTTCGTTGTCCACCACCACCAGAATTGGAGCTTTTCGACCTGGACGAAGTGCTTTCTTTCGAAGATGTGCGAATGGCACAAATAACAAATCAATGTCCGCAGTTATGCGTTATTTCTTGCCGTATATCTTTCGCTTTAGACGGAGAAGATGACATCGACGCTTATGTCTCCGCATGTGCCGACATTCTCGGCATCCACGACCGGCTGCCGAAGGATCAACAGTCAGCTAAGCACGTGCTACAGTTTCTTCTAGACCAGCTTGTAGAATTCAAGAAGCTTAACCATGTCGATGACTTCACCGTTTCCTAACCATCCTTAATATACCGATGTTGAACTTGAGAACAGATTATACGGACTTTCACTGAAGCTTCTCTTAGCGGATCACTGATGTGCCTGGAGTAAATGACCGTTGCAAGTGACGGTGTACTTGGCTAGACAGCAAAACAAGAACATTGAGCAGCTGGCTGTTACGCGCGATTGTCACAGACATGAAATCTTTGAGTTGTATACCGCGATTTCTAATAATTTTGTCTGGTGCTCTGCATTCCTCTTAAAGTTGACTTAAAATCAGTTATCGTTTTCGTCATATTTGCCACATCGCTGCCAAGAAAGTTACGCTACGAATAGAATAGTTGGTCTTAAAATGAATGAATACATATTTGATTTCAAAAACTTACGTATATGCGTACATGATTTTGTTCGCCGATGCGTCTAATGTGTCTGGGATTATGGCCAACTTGACTAATGCATTTCTGCTGTGGGAAACGCCACTCTTTCTGATTCGCAAGCTACATAAGCTTAATTGCCGTGTAAAACTGTTTGTGCCTCAAGGGTACCAGTGACGAAGGATATCAGGCACTACGTGAATAGAGAAATTTGATTCAATCAAGACTTGTAGAGCTGTGCAAGCTGAACTGGTCGGCAGAATGAGCAACTGAATGGAAGTGTCCAGTGATTTGCTTTTAACTTGTCCATGCACCACTCGTCTATGCTGGCAATGAATGTTGAATACTGATTGGAAGTGTGCGATTCTCGGAAGGCATAATGGTACGGCTTGACTATAAAGTTTGAACACGGAAATCCGTGCTACCTAGCCTGTGAGCCACAGCTTTCCAATTCAAGGAACTCAATAATTTGAAATGTAGATAGAATGTCAGGACATTGATTCTAAAGGCGAATTTTCTTGTCACAGACAAGTGAAAGGAAGTCAAAAGAAAGACTGACTTTATGCCCCTAGAATATTGATCTCATGATATTCTCGAGCCATGGAAACTAGCTTATTGAGGCTGCTTCCTTGCAGAAGGACCGAAACAATGGGCAACACATTTTAAAGCAAATCTCCAAATAAAAGAAATGGATCGCACTAACATAATGCGGCGAATCCATGAGGAAATTCGAACGCAACATCAACACAACTCCACCGTAGCCGATCCCAAGCTCGGTTAATAAAGGAACAGGTTTGGAGACGATCGCGAAATCTCCGTAAATGTTCGCCACCTGCCATTCATGGTACTGACGTCATCAAAAATTATACCGGCTCGGTAGCCGCCCGGGTTACCAAGGGCCGCGCAGGCTGTCGGGGGACTGAGGCAGACTGCGAAAGTCGGCGATCAGAACCTGCTTATTGCCCTCTACTACAGATCGGGGCATAACAGCACAACAACGGCTGACGAAGACCCACGAAACGAAGATACCAGTCAGCAATGGAGTCGCTACCCGTTCTGAACGGAGGAGA